GTGGGGGTGGGGGGCCCCTGTGCTGCCAGCAGCCCCCCGCCTTGCCCTGCCACGCAGCGCTTGGGTCAGCACCTCATTGTCCGTGGTGAATGCAGGTCTCGGGGTGAGGGCGGAACCCAAAACACTGCGAAGAACCTTAAATCTGCAGAAAGGTCCCCTGCGCCGAGCTTCTGGCAGCTCCCAGCCCTGTGGAGCTGTACCCCACTCCCCGGAGTGTCTCCTGGTGTGAAACAGCAGAGGAGGAGGGAAAAAATAAGGCCTATGTTTTTTATTTTTAGTCATATTTTTGCGGTGCGGTGGGAATTTTTAAGCCTCTAATTCTTTCTTTGGGTTTCTTGGTGCCAGGACACAGTGAAGGCCGGCAGAAGGCGAGGGGGAGAGATGGAGCTGGGCAGCCGCCCTGCCCAGCCCCCTGAGGTTCGCATCCGTGTTGGCTCTCGCTTCAGGTGTCTGCCCAAAATGGCAGAACGTCCGCACTAAAACGTCCGGAAAGCCCGAGGGGGTGGATACCCAGACATGTTACCCTGCTGCTCGGCAGTCAGAGTGAGCCGGTGCGTGTTGTTACCCGATAACACACGCAAGCCAATTCAGGTATTTCAAGGCACGCCAAGAGGGAGGACAGGCACATTTACTGCAAAGCAATTGATTTGCTGCAAGTTTACACTTTAGCCTGCTTTGCAGTAACTTGTTTATATATTCTTATGCTTAGCAAAGTGGCTACAAAATGTCCTTGATCAGCAAGAGCCTTATTATTTTTTAAGCTAGCTGACCAGTACCATTCATCTAATTTAATTAGTTTGTTGGCAATCAGTAAAGCAAACTATTGGTCATCAATGAAACTCCATTGCCAACAGGATCACAGTCAGTAAGAAAAATTTTATTTATGTATACATACTGGAAAAGTAAAAAAATGTTAACGCTGCGTTGCTGGAAAGGTGTTTATTTACCCTTCAGACATGCAGAAAAGTGGGAAGTAGCAAAGATATGTCAGTGACACTTACATGCTACAGACAAAGTAATTAATTCTGATTCCAGCAGGTACAAAAGCTATGTTTAAGAAAGCACCTTTTGCTGTTAAATATTTTGTTGCCAGAGAGGAACAGATTTTTGCTTGCTAAAACAGACCGGGAACTTGTAAACTATTGTTGTGCATGTTTAATAAATCTAGGAACACTGAAGAAGCGTCAGCTTCAAGCACATCATGTTGCAGATTCACACAGAGCTTCCAAAAAAGGTGTAGAGAGGCATTTCCTCATCAAGTTCTTTCAGTCCAAGAGTCTTTACCATCTAATACAGAACAGCTACAATACATCTGCCTTTGTAAGTCTTCATAGGTATTTCTCAGTTTTTGTAAAAGACAACATGATTGAAGAGTTTTAAGGTGTCAGTACACAGGAGAGTTTGTTAACCAGCTGTTACACTCCAAACCCAGTGTCTCACCCATATCCCTTCTCAAGGACCTTGTCCTTCAGTACGGCTCAGCCTGGTTTGAAGATCTTTCTTTCAGTGATGCTGTAGCAGTTTCTCCTCAGATTTATTACCAAGTGATACTCCTCAGAAAGTCATCCAAGCCTTTTTAAAATTGTTGCAATAGTTCTCAAGGCTAAAAGGGACAATTGCACGTTCTATTCTTACTGCCTGAACAATGTAGTCCACAGACTTTCACCCACTTATGCCCACTGAGCCTAGTAACCTGGGCCTGACTGGAACGTGTAATACAGAAAAGCATCCAGACCTCATCCACAGGTGTCAGAGGAAGAATGTATCACTTCGCTTGGTGAATAAGCCTTTTCACTGTAAAAAATTTATACCTTTTATTTCAGGCTGGATTTGTCAAGGTTCAGTTTTTGGCTTTTGATTTCTTGTTGTAGTTTCTCTACTAGAATAAAATGTTTTTGAGAATTCTGAAGTTCCTCCCAGTGAAAGTACTTCAGTACTCTATAATCACCTCGTCCCTTCACATTTTTTTGTAAAAAATTACATGAATGGAGCATCTTCAGTTTCTTCATGCATGCTATTTTCTTTTTCAAATATTCTTGCACCTCAAATTTTTCAATGTGGTGATTTCATCAGGAGCTAGATATACGTTCTTCTGATTTTAGGTGTGTAAGCTTTCTAATTAATTTAGACCAAAAGCACACTGGGTTTTCACATGTACTTGGGCTTTCTACACACTTTACTCCTAAATGCTGAGGACATAAGGAACAGTGCATACCCACCGCTATGTTCAAGACAGTTGCTCTCACGGCAGGCTTCTTCTGGTCCATCTTGCAAGTGATGTCTCTTGTCTATGAGGCTCTTGAAATAAACTCTGGCACACAGGTACTGCTAGAGCAATGTGGTCTTTCTGGCCAGCCACAAGGAATAGTCAAGACATGAAAACTGACGCTGAGCATGGCATGGTAGGTTTTGCCTGTAAGAAGTGGTTGAGGTGGCCATTTTTTTCAGTGTTCAAGTTTTCTTGCTTCTTGGGACTTTTCCTCAGCCCTCTTAAATTTACTAGTTATATATTTGCAGAGAGAATCATTTTACGATGATCTCATTTACCTTGTACTCTGTGTTCACGGTATTGGTATAAATGAGGGAAGGGAAATAAGAAAATGTCACAATGGGTTAGCTCTTGTAACATGCACTGCAACAGACTGCAACTTGCAGTCCCACTGCAGGACATGGACCCCAGCTGGGATCTGCTCCACCCGCCTGTACTGTCGGCATCTCTGTGCTTGGACTTGGGCTGTGGAACAGCAGGGAGCGGGCAGATGCGCTGTACTCTGAGAGCCGTGCTGGGCAGCAGGGCCTGGGCTGCTGGTGGCAAAGGTACCGAGGACAAAGCTTCCCACTGCAGTGGAAAGGCATCTGGAAAGTGGCCACCGCGCAGATCCAGATGACATCCCACTAGAAGGACAAGGTTTGCATTTTCATCTCATCACCCTTTCGCAGGGGGAGGTGCTTTGGACAAGGAACATCAAGGACCGACCGCTTGTGGGGTGGGTGCAGTGTAAGCATGTGATTTTTCTTGCGTGTCCTCTCCCTGTAGCTCCTGGCGTAGGACACACTAGGCAGAGTGAGCTCTGAGCCTAGTGCTTACTCCTTGGTGGCATCCTTCGCTTCGAAAGGAAGGAGTTTATCATCAGCTATTCGATAGGATTGATGCTTGCTTCACACAATTCATATCTGCTGGCGCTGTTGGTCTGTGCCTCTTACTGCCACAAGATGGTATCTTCAGCAAGTTTCCCCTCGTTTCCTCTGTGAAGTCCAGTTTAATATTCTGACTGCTGAGTTTCTTTGTTTACAAAGACTGCAATTTAATCACAAATAACACAGTGCAAGGTTGCTGGTGCAGGCTTCCTACTACTGGGTGTCAGACAAAGAGAGCCAAAGGATTAACTCTGATAGATCATGTCCAGTATATATGCAAGTATTCATTTTTCCTCCTCTCCTGCTAACATGCTTGAGTGCTTTGCAAACCCTCTTACAAGGCAAAATTTCACAGTGTTGCTTTAGGGGAATGGCTTAATGCATCTATTTCGAGAAAAGGTCTCTGGTTTATTCTCTAAAGATTGCTGAAGTGGGAGCAATGTTGTGTTTAGCTGTGACAACAGAACAACCAGAGCACAGCCCAGATAGCATCTGGAAGAATCTCCCAAACCCAGAGTGCCACTGTCTAGCTTTCCATTCCTGCCGAAGGACAAACTGGTTAATACACTGGCAGTCTGCATGGACCTCTCTGTACAGATCTGTAGTACAGGGTTTAAAAAAACCCCAAGTTTCTCCCTTCCCTTCTCCCTCCAGCACTCCTGCAGCCAGTGGTGGAAGAACAACAGGTGATAGAGTTAATGCCAAGTGTATGAATTCCATTCATTATTCACTTGGGATTGGAAAAATAAACCTGCCTGTATTAAGATCAGTGCAAGAACCCAAAGTAATTGTGGGGCTCACATTTATATCACATAACATTTTACTTGGATATCATGTTAGTCATTTGTACTTGGTTACTGTGAGCTCTCTCACTAAAACAAGATGTTTCCAGTTATGTGTGCTTGAACCAGAACAGTCAACAGGACAAACTGCCTGGTATGCCTGGGGAATGAAGATCCATGTCTATATCAGATTTAAGTTTAAAAAAATTTGCTTTCTGAAAAGCAAGTTCCCTTACTTTAGCATTTGTAGCAGTGCTCAGGGCAAGCTGAATGCAGCAGTGCCCACTCTTGATTATTTCATGCTGCTAGTATAAAGTGCTGGAACCTCTGCCAAATTGTGAGATATGCCAAGTTCTCTTTTTCTTTCACTTTTAAGGGTTTTTTAAATCATTCTGGAATAAAAAGGAAGGGAAGGGCTTGGAAATATTAAACTATGAGTGACTCAAAGGCTCAAGATAAAAAAAAACCCTGAAGACATGGAGAATGATCCTCAAACTTATTATTTAGAAGCAATCTCATAGTTCTTGCAGCCTGACTCAGAGTTTTTGAAAAAATAGG